AAAATCCACAAAATGGAGATGAGTAGAAAGAATGGAGAGAAATTAATTGTGTCACCTGGCCTCAGAGCTCAGCAAATCAGCCATCCTGAACTCCTCATTTCTATGGAGTTGGTCTTTAGAGATATGCACTCCTGGGATAAGAACAATAGTAACATAGCTGGTTTAACAGGGACCTTTGGATATTGAGCACCCAGGTATGCACAGACTAGAGGAGTTAACCTGTGACCACCTCATGCAACAGTTCTCCAATCAAGAACCACCACCTGAGCCTCTCAGAGATGGTTCTTTCTGACCAGGATTCTACTGACACCTTAATCTGCGTACATTTCATGAGGTCATACCTTTAGTATTCAGTATTCAGGTGAGATGTCAAACATCTTTGCTCTTAAAGCCAAACCAGATAACTAAAATCCCTCAGTATATGCTTTGAAATGTGGGCAGGTGTTTTACTAGAATTTCATACCAACAAGTAGTGAGGAGAAGATATGCCTAAAAGAAACATGTCTCCCATGTCTCTATCACATGTGTGTCCTCCTGTAATGTTCTCATATATGTTTGCACTGACACACACTCAGCATTTTAATGCTAGTCTCATGTTCTCCAAAAGGACAGAGTCCATCTCCGTATGAGTGGAAACCTGCCACTTCTTCTAATGTGATGAACTTTGCAGAATGTTCTGACATGTACATGTATTCTTGTAGTGGCAATAGGTAACTGATTTGGACAATATCGTAGTTGCCATGGTCCCTGTAACTAAGTACCACAGTTCTGTGGCTTAGAAACAGAAATTTGTGTTACGACATTTCTGGAGGCTAAAGTCTAAGGGTCAAGGTGTCCACAGGTCATTTCCTCCTTCTCTTGCTCAACTCATTCATTGTAGACTCAACATGTGTGGTAGACACCACCCTTAAGAAGACTTTTCTACCTTTACAAAAAATGTTGGAAAAGGTATAAAATTCATTGAAATGTCTGACCCCCGCCCAACTGAAAATGTAATGAACTCTAAAACAAAAACTGAAAGGAACACAGTTCCTCCACTGGGCCATGTTTCCACATACAACCTAAGAATGCCTAAGAATGTACCTAGTACATTCTATGAAAAATTTTAAATCAATGGTTTTTATGTAATTGTCCCAGAAATATTTAAATCCTAAAACCAGCTTTCCCCAAATCTACAGGCCAGGATTCATCCATATAGGGCTTATATAATGTATAGATATAATTCAAGATACTTGTTTGTTAAGGAAAGTTCATTTAGATTCACTCAAGTTTTATGCACATATCCATACATCACCTTATGTCAGAAACTTCTTATCTGAAAACCCATAAAATAGCCCTTAGAAAACAGAGACTAAAACCTGTGATTACCTACAGCAGAACAATTGATTATGCTCAAGCAATTCTCCTTACAAACACAGAACGCTAAAAGTCTTACAGTAATTTCCAGGCATATTTCTTTCAGGCTCTCTGATTTAAATTTGAAGTATTTTCTTCCTATCAATTATCTAGTGAAAGCACCAAAAAAATGTAAAATGTCATGACTACAGTTATCTGAGTAAGAAAAAATAAATCAGACTGCTAAACAAGTCTATCACCACTCTTTGTAAATGCAAGTTTGCATTTGAAAATAATTTTAGACTTATAGAGGAACTACAAAAATAGTACAGAGTTCAAGTACCCCCTTCACATAGCTTTCCCAGTGCTAGCTAAGATCTTACGTAATCAGAGCAGAATTAGCTAAAGTCAGTGCTGTACAAAACTATTAACTACAGACTTTATTCAGAGACCGGCAGTTTTCCCAGTAACATCCTTGAAACATTATTTTGAAAAATAAATTTCTGTAGAGGTCCTCAAATTCACAGTCATGTTAAGGCTAAATATATTCCAAATATCGTAAGCTGAAAACAAGGGCCAAGTGTGTATTTGTTTCTGCAATTAAAGCTTAACAGAACTTAACACATCAGTCTCACTATGCTGTTAAAATTAAACACTTCATTGTCCAATACTTTTACTGCATTTCAGCTTTTAAGAAATGGGCTCAAAAAGGAATAGCTTGCTAAGTCTGGCTTCGCACCATGGAAGACAGAAGTTTAAGCAAAAAATGAAATCATTTTAAGTTTCTTCCTCATGTCTAGTATGTCTCTCTTTATATAACTTATTTTTAACCAATATTCAAAGGCTAAAACATACAACATTAACTTCTTTTACCTAATGAATTAGATATTGTAAAGATGGAAAATGATTTTTAAGTGAAATACTTATAAAAAGTCCTCAGAGTTCAAAACTCTTAATTCTTTTCTCTTTTAATGAGTTTAGCATTCTTTTGGTATCCAAAGGATGCCTAGTCCACCCCCAGAAATGATTGATTAGCTATCTTAATTCCAAACTCATTCCAAAGGAAGGAGGAGCCCTGAAGAAGGGGAAAGGCAGTGTCTTATGTATAAATCTTAGTTACACAAAATCCTCCACTGATTGCATAGCTTCCTGGTCTAATCCATTAGGTAGTCTAGGAAAGACCACATGGAAAATGCAAGTCAAATCTAACTATGCAAAGGCTCTACCTTGGTGCTGCACCTCAAGCCCAACTTTCAGCAATCACTCCACCCACTCCCCTTCATTGCCAGTCGATTCACATACAATTTGAATGTTTGCTAATGCTGTGGGCGCACTCCAGGCATTTACTCAACAAACAGTGAGTGCCTATCTGGTCTAAGGCCCTATATTAAGTGTTTTATGGGGAGCCAAGAAAGAAAAACTTGACAGCCCTCAAAGAGCTTCCAGTCTACCTTCTCTGTAAAATTTATTTTCGGGTGAACACAGCCAATTACTGCAATTTATGGGAGAAGTAAAAAGAAGTATCAATGTCACTCACAGCAAAAGAATGAACTCTCCCAACACACAAAATTAAAAACTTGACTTTTGCAAGGAATTAAGTGCCTCACACCTGTAGTTCCTAAAACCCAAAGTGGAGAGGGAGAAATAATGAACTGCAACATTAATGATTCTTGAACATGTTAAATCTGATGACTTCAAATTTTTTTATTTCAACACTTCTAAGAAATCACTTGAATATAGCCCTTCTTTTCTCTTTTATCTACTAACATGCCAGCATAAGCATGGCTTTCCAAACAAAAAGAAAAGATGCTTCTATTAATGGAATAACTCAAACACAAAGAGAGATACATTTCCTCCACAGGAAAAAAATGGGCTAAAGTTCAGTAAAAGCCTACTCTGGTTTGACTGATCATTTAAATCAGCCTAACAAGGGCATGGGTCAGTCCTCCTGAGCCAGACATTCTTTTAGTGATGGATTTAGGGTTTAAATAATCCATATAAATATTTGTCTCCACCCCCTTGCACACAAATTTAAAAACCCATCACACTGGTATTTCACAGGGCTTACCTTTAAACAAGGCCCAGACAGGGTTAAGGGAACTTAATAAAGAGAAAACATCACTAAAGCTTTCAAAATTGCTTCAAACACTAACGCGTTACAAAGCTCCCACCCTGGCAAGTACTACTACATTATTCGCTAATGAAAAGACAGGCCAAAATCTGCATCAATTGCATATCAGACAGCCATGCATCATTATGCACGTGCAATTTATCAGACCGTTAAGGAGATAGTAAATGTGGGGAAAGGATATTTCTCTATTGAAGTGGAAGGCTTGGGTTTCTTTCAAAGCACACAGCAATCAGCCATCGCTAAGCTCCACTCACTCCCTGCAGCCAACTGTGGTCAAGGGTCTGGAGGCCAGCAACACACGACATTCTGTGCCTGTGTGTATAACAGAGGGACCACAGCCAACGGACTCCAAGAAAGTTAAAACCGACGCTTCCACGCACCGGAGGTCCACACGTCTCTAATGTTTAAAACACGCTCTCTACTTAAACGAAAGCCCCTTCACCAACTTTAAAAAAATTGTTTTAAAGGCCAACTTACTCATTCCTGCCAAATAAACATGGAAACCTATTTTGCAACCTACGTTTAAAGCCAAATAGCTCGCTTTTCTTAATTGAAAGAAAATGGAAGACCACTTTCACCGCTGTATGTGAACCTTAAAGAAACTGATCTAATAATCAGGAGAATACGTATGCGTATGTTGCCATTCATCCACGCGTGTCCACCAGGTACTAAAGGAGATTCTGGAGGTAAACTCTGCGACACCGTGCCAGCTTTGGCCCGGAACCTGACCCCGACTCGATCCACGATCCTCACCAAACGCCCGGCGAGCGTGCACAAAGGGCTCGCTCCCAGCACTTAGCCAGTCCGCTCCTACCACCTAGGACCCCTGCGGAGCCGGGCTAAGTTAACAAGTTGCCACCGGCCGCGACGCTCCGCTAGGGGGCCCGGGTGGGCAGGGGACGCCCGCCTGCCAATGCCGGGTCTGGGGGGAAAGACTTCTGCTCCCTTCCCTGTCGCCGAGACCTCTCTCTGGGACCGACAGTGAACGCCCGCCAAGGCTCTCTCGACAAGCCGCGCGGCCGCGGGGACCTGCTGAAGTCGCCGGCCGCCCCGGACAGGGGACAGCAGGGAGTGCAGGGCGCGGGGACATCGCCGCTGCCCGACTTGCCGCTAGGTCCAGGCGATAGCCACAGACGCAGCGGTGGAACCGCAGCCCCCGCCGGGCTGCTGCCCAGGGTCAGAGGGGACCGCACAGCACCTACGCCCGGCGGCTGCAACTGGGAACTTCAGGCAAAGTTTTCTGCTGTTCCTTTCCCAGCCGGCCAGGGACCCAGAGTGGCGGCCACCCAACCCGAAGCAGGAGCCCAGGCCGCGGAGGGACGAACCCCGAGCTGGAAGTTCTGGGGACGCGAGCGTTCCGAGCCTCCCGCCCCTAGCCCTGCGCCGGGATAACCCGCTACGCGGAGGCCGGCCCGCCGCGCCCCCCGCCCGGCCCCGCCGCGCGCCTCCGGCTCTCCCTCCCTCTGCCGCCGGCGTCCCGCACTCCCCGCTCCGGCCCGTGCGCCCCCCGGGGCGGCAGAGTCCGTCCACTTACCTGAGAACGTTTCCCCAGCCGCAGTTAACAAAAGTCCGGCCAAAGTCGCCAGGCAAGTCCCAAGTCTCCTCATGGTGCTGAGTACGCGCCGGGCCGCTCCCGGGCGGCGAAGAGGGGACGCGAGCCTGGGCTTCAGGCTGCGAGAAGAGGCGTGGAAGCAGCCACGCACTGAACCAAGACCCCAAAGTGGCAACAGTTGCACAAGTCCGAACTCTTGCGGCTCTCAGGCCGCGGGGACTGCGACCTGGTCCTCTTGCCCTGACCCTGGCCCCGCTCGGCGTCTGGCGCTGCTGCGAGAGGGAGTGGAGGGCGCGCCCGCCGAGCCAAAAAATCCTCCCTGGGTTCCGGCGGCAGCGCCCGCCGCCGCTCGCTTCCCGTGCTCTGGACCAAGCCGCCGGCGTGGCCGTGGCCGCGTGCGTCCTGCCTGCCGCCTCTCCGCCGGCAGCTCCAGCCAGCCCCGGGTGGCGGCGCGCCGATGGCCGAGCCCGCGCCGGCTGCGCGCGGGGCTCCTGCTCCTCGACTGACTGGCGGTGCCCCGCAGGCCGGCTGAAGGGAACCCACGTCACGGCCGCCCGCCCGGCGCCGCCGCGGTCCACTAGAGGGCGTGAGCGCCTGCGCCCCGCCGGCCGGTCCCCAGCGCTTGGCAGCCCGGGCGCCTCCGGGAGGCTCTGCGGGGGGCGGCCTCGCGGCCACAGCGGCGGGTGCGGGCGTGACCCGCGCGGTGAGGAGCGGCTGCCGGGGTCGTCACTTCGGCCCCTCCCCTCCGGGGCCGCGTCTTCGATTGCGGCGGCGGGCTCCGGGAAGGGTGGCTGTGAAACGGCCCGCGCCTCCGCGAGAAGTTTGTCCCGGGTCACGAGCCGCGAGGAGTTTGCGAGAGCGGCGGGGCGGGACCAGAGGCCTGCAGCTCGGCCGTTGGCCCTGTCCCCGGCGCCGGACGACAGTGTCACCGCGCACGGCCAGCTGCGCCCAGAGTCCCGGCAGGGCTCGCGCTCCCCGGCGGCGGGGAACTGGGAGAGCAGCCAGCGCAGTGGCTCCGGAGGGCGGCGGTGGCTTCTTCGCGCCGCAACGGAGCGAAGTTGGCCGGCGCCCGGGAAGGAGCGGGAGCCGGCAGCTCCCGGAGCCGGCGCGGGGCACACGCGCTGCGGGTCCGCGAGCCCCGTGCCGGGGATGTGGGGCGCGATCTGCCACTCCATGGTGCTCGACGTCCCCAGCAGGCCCCGCCCGGAAGCAGGCTTTGGACACTGCCCATGATTTCTGAATCTGTTGTACATTTGCTGGGCAATAGGGAGGATGAATGGTAGGAGTGAGTCCAGTGGTGTCCTGAAATATTTTAATTTGCCATTTGGGGATTTGTGATGACTATTGTTATTAAGTGAATAAAAACGCCTGCAGTGAGTGCTTCAGTTAAAAGTATATTTTTAAGTTTTATTTGTAATTTTTAAAGTGAGCTTTCCTTCTCCAGAGGGATAAGCACATTGAGCCAGCAGCAGACATCTCCCCTGCCTTCAATAGAGGGCTTGGGAAGACGCGAAATTAGAAACCAAAGTAACTGTGTTACCACGGGTTCCACTAGGTTATTGGCAGGAAGGCAAGTCCTTGATAGCACTATGCCTGGAGCTCTTCCCATGGCTTCTCCCTTCTACTCACCACCCCCACACACACCCATCACCCTTCACATCACTCCCCCTTAATGAGAAATAAATGACCATGCTCTCATTGACCAGTGGGCCCCAGAACCAACAGGCAAGGATATCTCACAGCTGTTATCGCCCCAGGGCAAACTTGAAGAGTCAAGGACTCTTGCCTTCTGGCATGGCAACTAGCAAGCAAACTTTCCTCTGGAATTCCACTTAAGTTATCAGACCTGCTGTTTCAAAGTCTCCGTGTTAATCATTTACGTGTTAATATGACCTTACATCAACCATGCCACTTTATACAGATATGTACCTGTTGAGCCTTATCTTGAAGTGCCAAATGAAATTTTGAAGTCTGATAGGAAGGGGAGTCTCATACTTCCAAAAGGTCAGTAAGTGACAATGCTCCCATCAGAGGCCTCGTTTTCCAATTCTGATGTAATTGTGTGCTGAACCAGACAGAGCTCCAATGGGCTTTTTTAAAATGGTAATGGTTTTCCAGAAGACTTGTATGCTGGTGGGAGCCTCAAGTCCAGATGAGGAGGTTAAAGCCAATCCACTCACAGAGGTTAATATTAGATAGGATTTCATTCAGGAAGCATATTAGTTCTTTCAGCAAATGTCTATTAGGGCAGGCACTGTGTGAGGTGCTGGATGGAGGCTGGGGCCCCTCAGAAATAGGGGTTAGGAGTTTAGAACAAGGGATTTTTAACCAGGGAAGTGATCCCCAGAAGAGGAAAGAATGAGGAATAAAGAGAAGCCAACATAGAGTGTGTTAATGAGCAGATTCCTGGGGGACTGAGCTCAATCCCAGCGGTCTTCCCAGGGTCTGGGAACCAGACTGCTGATACCCCAGAACTACCCTGGTACCCACAGAAACTCAGTTCCTCCTATTTCTTGAAGCTCTGTGGGAGGCTGAGTTTCAATTGTCCTTGTATTCAGCTCTTCACCATGACAATGCTGAGCTGACTCTGCCCTTATTAGCCTGCCATCCACATTGAAGAGGGGAATAGGGGAAGGGGATTGCCCATAGCTCCTGCCCTTACTAACAGTCATTTCCACCATTGTTTGTGGTCTGCTTCTCTTAGGTAACTTACAAAGCAGTCTTTGAGCCCTACTGGAAGGCCTATGTTGAAGAAGAATGGACAGGCCCTGGAAAAATCCTCCCCAGGGGACATTTGCTTTGACTTATTTTAGCAGTGGAGATTTCACATTTCAATCTAACCACATGTCACTCTGGCTCTCTGGAGAAAATATTGATATTTACAGAGTGATTGGTCACAGTGAGGGGTCTGTCAGGGCACCTTCTAATATGGGTGGGCTTAGGGAAGACTCACCAACCATATTTCAAAATGGTTAATCTACTATGTATTATATCATCCTAATATGTCTTGACAAAGAACCAAGTTGAAAGATAAGAACACCTATAGTTTTTCTTTTCTTTATTGGGAGGAAGGGGTTGGTGGGGATAGAACCCAGGGCCTTCAGCATGCTCACTACACTCCCAACCTCAGAACTACACCCCAAGCCTTCCTATAGTGTGCATGAGACAAAAAGTCAACAAAATGTCACAGACAATATACTGTTCTGCCTATCTAGATTATCTAGTGACACATCTAGCTAGTGGCTGCTGTACTGGACAGCACATGCAGAGGACATTTTCATCGTTGCAGAAAGTTCTGCTGGACAATAGTGATCTAAAGGATAGAGTTGGAAAAATGTGAATTGTTTTAACTCAGAAAACTCAAATTATTTTCCTATACCTGTTGAAGTTATTTTCTTCCAAATGATTCAAAGGGATCTATGACAATTAAAATATAAAATGCAAATGATGACTATGAATATCAACAATAACTAAAAATTTAAATAGACCTTATTAATTTTTTGGTAGTATTGGAGATTGAACTCAGGACCTTGCTCTTTCTAGGCTGGGAACTCTAGCCAAGTTCCCAGCTCAAATTTGCTTTAGTTATTTTTCATACAGGGTCTCCTCTTTTTGACTGGGTTGGCCTTAGTCTGAAATCCTCCTACTTCCTACTCTTGAGTAGTTGGGATCACAAGTATGTGCCACTATGCCCAGCTTTTTTGTTAAGATGGAATCTAACTTTTTTGCCTCAGCTGGCCTCAAACCCCCATCCTCCCAAGATCTACTATGAACCACGGCCCAGTCTTAGCCCTTATTAATTTTTAACCAAACATAAAACTACTAACAATCCTAGCATTCAGTGTCCATCTAGTTGTCAATGTAAAAAAATCAGTATTGGTTTTACACGTTATAACTACACATCTACCATTTCAACAGTAATATTCATTTAACTTAGTCAAATATTGCTCAATCGCTGCATTAAAATACATGCAAATATTATGCTAATGTGTGGCTTCCTCCTGATCCATGCATTGGAACATAAAGAGAACCAAGTAAATGGATTTGGTATTACTGAGAAACAAGGCTCATTATGTAAGAGTGTATGTGATATGCTTGCCACCTGAAAGGAAGGCATCAACAGTCTCTTCACTTGATTTGTAATCAGTGGCCTCCACCATGATGTCCTCTGTGCCCCAGGACTGTCCATCTTCCCAGACAGCAGCAGCACACCTTGGGAGCCTTCCAGGTGTTCAATGCTGTCACCTTGCGTTTCAAGGACATGGGGTAAAACTGCGGGGACGTGTACTGTGGAACCTAAATTGAGCAGATGTTTCTGGTTATGTTTTCAGCTCTCTCAACACTGAGACCAGCCCCCTACTGACCACTGTGACCTTGTGTCCTTTAAGAAGTGTATTTGTATACACTTGTGATACTCAGTCCTTCAAGGCCCAGGCAGGGCAGGAGCCTATTGTACTGGGACTACGGGCAGAACTGCTGGCTGGACAATACCTTTGGCCATAGCAACTCTGTTTCTAATTTTGGTCAAAATGTAAATCAAAAATGAAAACTGCTCTTACCATAACCTGTCCCTACCGGTCCTAAAAGTTACATTGAGTTTGGAGGTTAACGGCCAAACTAAGCCAAAGTATCACCCCACCTGCCAAAAAGCAGAGGCCAGAGGATTATTCCAGTCTCTCCAAAGCTACTTAATGGGGACTATTGTGATCCAGTGGAAAAGACTGTCATTGTATTCATCATGTATTCATTCATCTTCTCTAGGCCTTGCTCAAAGGATTGCTTCCGATGTTTGTTTGGATGAGGAATGTGCATTTTGAGATAACAAATGGAAAATGTAAATAAGCTCCATCAAGTTGGTTTCCCCAGTGATGTGTTCTCTTCTGGTGATCAAAGAGAGAAAGGGGAGGAGGGAAGGAGGGGGCAAGGAAGGAAGGAAGGAAGAAAGAAAGGAAGGAGTTAACTCTGAAGTCCAGCTGAATTTGCCTCCCTGCTGTGGGTAAAATCAGATCTTTTCACTTCCTGGCTTGTAGAAACAGTATTGGATGTGGAAGTAAATTCTGAAGCAGGAGCAAATGTGATTGTTTACTATGTTGATCTCTGATTAAACAAAGCTTTAAGGGAGCAGTGCTCCCTTCTCCTTGCCCCCTCCCTTCTCCCCCCACACC